TAAGAGTGACATGTGACACGAAACTATTGAATGTGAAGGGAGAATGTGTGTGAAGAATCATGTGACTGAACTACTTAATTTTTCTTATGTGGTTCGGGTATAAGCATTTCTTTTGCTGATTCATCAGTGGGCGTCGTTTGTAAGGAGGAGCCTTACATAAGGAGGATTGTATGATAACTGTGAGAAGCAGAACTAAGGTGAAAAGGGAGTGGATAATGCTTAAAAAGTAATTGCGAAGTAGGGTTGAGAAAAGTGAATGAATTAATTCGAAAACAGCAATAGCAAGATCATAAGATAGATAAAAAAAGGCGTACATCGAAGAAAGTAAAAGAAGAGTGTGTTAGAGTGACAGATTTGACAGAGAAAGCGGAAATCTATTAAGTCTTCCTAGTTGCGCATCCCGCTCGTCACTTGCTTCCGTGACGTCACCACGGGTGTCATGGCGAGCCTTGTTTTGTTTTGGTGTGGCGACAGCTGATCCTGGATGAGAGAAAGCCCTTGTTTATGATGATTTAGAGTGCTTCTTCTAACCCCCTCAACCCTCTGCGAAGGGCTGACGAGAGAGAGAAAGGAAGAAATAGGAGGAGTGAGAGAAAGAGGGGCGAGAGAAGGCAAAAGAGCGCGTCCATGAAGTCAGACGCAGAGCAGAGCCTGGCCGGACCTCCAGCACAACCTCCTCCCTCACCGCCTCCAGCAGCCGCCCCAGCCCCCGCCACGACCTCCCTCGCGGCCTCGGCTGTGGAAGAGAGGGTCAGGTCCTTCTCCACGGCTTCGGAGGCCTCGGAGGACTCCACCTCCGCTCTCCTACCCGACGTGGCCTTCGGGCCCGCCTCGTCCTCGTCTGCTGCCGCCAGCCACACGGGTATGGGGTCCCCGAGGAGCAACAGGGAGAGCCAACCGCTCCTCGGCGCCAGGCACGACGTCGACGAGTTCAACCATTGGCCAGGTAGTTGGGGGAGCAGGGTGTGGTGTGCTTGGTCCTTCGGAGTGATGCTCAAGAGGTCGTTTTGGAGGGAGGGCTCCCTTGGTTATTTAAGAAGTTTATCTCCCCACTTTCCCATGGCTTTTATCCGTTTTCCTCTCTCCAAACCGTTCCTCTCCATTCTCCCCCCCCCCTTTCCTCTTTCCATTCTTGTTCCATCATTTTCCCTTTCCCCTATAACAAATCCCCTTTTCTTCTCCACTCTCTCTCTCTTTTCTTCTCTTTTCATCCATATCTCCTTGCTTTCCTCTCTCCATTTTGCTTTTAAACCTGCCATTCAGGCATTTTGTCAAGGAATCCTTTGTTTGATTTATGGATGATTGGACACAATACATTGTAGGCTATATTGTGACAGTCTAAAGAAAATTATTCATTTGGTTTAACATGACATAAAGACTATTTCAACAACCATCTAAGGAAATTTAAGGTTCAATCACACTTCTTCCGTCAGTGGAGTTCTCTTCTGAATTTGAGGCTCTCCAAAAGTGTTTGTGAACAGAACACCTCCCAAATGGGAGATGGTAGCAACTGTTTCCATCTCTGATTAATTTCCATCTTGTTCTTTTGCTACAAAGGATTTATACAACTAGAAAGTGTTAGATAGTATGAGATAATGTGAATATTTTTTAATATTCTAAAATGTCTTTATAGAATATACTTCATTTTTTTTCTTTGGAATAACATGTATGAGAATGCTTGTGTGATCCCTGGGACCTCACTCGGAGGGTGCCAAGTTTGTTTACATGTGTTTTATGTTTATGCCTTGGTCATTCCATTGGCATATAGAAAATTCATACAGAAACAAAATTGACCAAAAAGTGCTAGTGTGGTAGGGCCTTTACTAAAGAATTTTGTGTTCTAATCTAGTACGGATCAATATTGATATGAAGGTGCATTAGATTATCGATTATATGACTGCTCTAGTGATGAACATATTAGGTTATTGTGCTACATTATGTGCTCTGGTAATTTCAACATGGTATATTTTTTACTTTTACTGTATTTCTGAAACTGTTGAAAACAATGCACTTAAATGTATCAAAATTCTCTGCAAACAAAATTGACAGCAGTGCGAAAAATGCGTTTTTGAATGCTGATTTCTGGTTGATGATTTGTCAAATGTTTACAAAATTTATTCATCAGTTAATTGCTGTGACTTGGTGTAATGGGGAGCACTGACCCCCTAATACCCCCAGGAAACCTTGTCTTTACCTCGATCTCCAGAGCAAGATAGAGCTGAAAATCAGGAGCGCTAAGTCAACTTAGCCTTTGAACGGTGATTTCTGTAATCTTTTTCCTTATTGTTTGTCTGCAGATAATTTCTTGTATCAACAAGTACAACTTTTCATCTTCTACTAGAATATTATCTTCAGTTTGTCCTAGTTTAGTGCGTCCATACCGTAAAGATTAATCCAAGATTTTTTGAGTTGGACTCTGGCAAGTGACATAAAATCTGTATATATTTTATCATGTAAAGTAAGGAAATGTATATATAGATGTATAACAAATATCTAGATGTGTATTTAACAGAAGTACGATAATATATCAGGAGGTAATGGTAACATCTGATACATCGTACCTAATAGTATGGTATATGAGGGGTTAATGTGAGAGGAGGAAAAGATCTAGGTTTTGGGTGGATGAAATATCCTATGTAGTAGGGATTCTCAAGCTTTTTTCAGCTGCAACCCCTACAGATTAATTTGATAAATTCACAATCCACTCCCCTGCAGCAAAATATTTCCAACAATCACTATAACACATGCATACATAACGTGGCTTTAGGATGCTTTATCGAGCATTGTGCAGGTTAACCACCACTGACAAGTACTAGATGTGTTAGGATTGATAGTGGAATGAGGAGGAGGAGGGGTTGCAGGATCTTGCGACCGCCTCAAGATTATTTTGTGACCCCACAAATGTCCCTGCTTTGAGAATATCTTGACATATAACATTCCTACCTCAAACTTGATAAGTTTTATTCAGAAGAAGTTGGAGGCAGGAAAACAGACTGTGTGATTGGCCAGGAGTGATGGCATGGTGTATGATATTATGGTGTGGCTGAAAGAAACTTACCAAACAGTACCCAGATATATTAGAGAACACTACATATATCTTATTTATAAGGAAAATGTTGATGGAAAAGTCCTGCCAATTTTTGGGACTGTGTGCACTTTGAACAAATAACCCTGATTGTGTCAATATGGACTTCAGGTGTTAAATACCAATCTGGCAATAAAGTGCAACCCAAAGTAATTTTCTGTAATAAATGTAACCTTTGTAATAATCAGGAAAGTCTAGAACAATATGTACACACCAGAGCCCATCCAGATGTCCTTCACAAAGACATTGAAAACCAGTTATTATGGTAGAATATTGCTTAGTAAAGCAATTTGCTGCATAGTTGTTGCATTTTCAGTTGAAATAATTTAAAAGCATAGTAAATGATATGAGAGATGAAAACTCTGGAGGAAGATAGTTTAGGTTATTTCAAGTAAATTTTATTATAGTTGCTATTGTTGCTGTTATGATTATCATCATAACAGCATCATCTTTCTATTTTTATTATTATTATTTTAACTATTACAGTTAGAACTTTATGTAATCTCCTGAACATGCCACTAATGTATGACTGATGTTCGTATCACTTTTTCATAATTATTGGTTGTTTTTTATTACCACCTTTATATATTTGTGGGTATACTGTTCATTATTGAAAATATGTCAAAGAACACAAAGATGATCAGTTATTAATAAAATGATTATAATGATGCGTATATATCAGTAGTTATAGAATATTGATGGTTATGATAATATGAAGATAAATATATAGCTGAATACTCTGCAGAGATGGATGTTGTTGAATGAAAGTGAGTATCATGAAGTAAGAAAATATTGATATCTATTTTAATCAAGATCATTAACCTAGGAATATCTGTTCATGTATGTATATATATCATAAACTAACTAATGAAATACAAGTGCCATACACCATCAATTTTGAAAGGTCCCCAAAATTTGTATACCAGGTGAGGCCCTAAGATATAGCTTGTTTAGTTTATACATAAATCAGGTCCTGCTGTTACGATGGTAAATGACAGTGAAAAACAAAAGTGTGGTATATAATAATTATAAGATGATGTTTCAGTATTGGTACCTTTTTCTTCTCTTCTTCTTTTTTCTCTTCCTCCTCCTTCCTCCTCCTCTTTTCCCTACCTCCCCCTCCTCTTTTCCTTCCTCCTCCTCCTTCTCCTTCCTCTTCCTTGTCTTCCTCCTCTTCCTCCTCTTCCTCCTCTTCCTCCTCCTCAATGTTTACTAATACTAATACTAATTTTAAGAGTTGTGAATTGGAATCAATAGAAATTCATCTTGTTGCAGTGAAATTTACCAAAAATAGACTAGCATACAGTTGTTATATTTATAAGACAAGAATGTGCTTATATACTTGAACAAAAGAAATATTGTTAATGAATGTATAAGCCTTTTATAATTATAATGAAAATTAAGAGCAAATAGAATTTTAATAGGTATAGCCTGTATATGTGTATGTTTAACAGAAGCAAGAGCCAAAAGGCATGAAAGGTGCAAATGGACTGAATGTTCTTGACATGATAAGAAAGGACGAGGCAAATTGTGTTTTATGAATAATTTGATTGCTTGTTGTGTGTCCTTGATTATGGCTCTGAAAACATGCTAATGATTTGGGGTAAGGAACTGAGTAATAGTAGTGGATGGAGAGAGGGGATTAGGTTTTGTATATAGAGAAGGTATGAATGAGAATGAATATCTTCACAGTATGAAAGATGTTTTTGACCAGATTTTATTATATTTATGTCAGAAATACATTTATTTTTGACAGATGTAATCAAAACTGGTCAGATACGTCTCTTGTATTGTGAAGCTATTCATTCTCTTTCATAACTAATCTACAATTGTTGCAAGGTAAATAGTTCATTTGGATTATTATCTGCTGTCTGACAGTTATTTTTAGTCTTATTTTTGTTTTTCTTGTTGTTTATTTTCATATTATAATCTTTTTGGTTCTCATTCATCATCAATAATCATCAATCCATATGTGGCAGTGTTCTTGCATATTTTCTAATTTATTATAATTTTGTATTTTATCATTTCTAATATGACACTTTTGGGAGGGGCAATATGGATACTGAATCACAAGGATCGATATGGAAGTGTGAGGTTCATTCATGTTGACAGGGAGAGACAGATTAGGAAGAAACTGAAGGGTATAATGAGGGAAGAATATCAAGAGAGAAAAGACGAAGAAGAAGGAAATTGGGAAGGGATTTTTGGAGAATCAGGGTTGTGTGCAGCATCTGCTTCATGAAGTATATGTGGCCAACAGGGCTTACCTCCTGGGCCTCTTTCAGACTTGGTCGATGCTGACATTTGCTGCACTGCACCAACAAAGCAATATGATTTCTCTTTGTATCACTTGTATCCAAAACATGATTTTAATGTTTATGCTTATTCAGAGTGGCATTGATGTTTATTTTAGTTGCTTGATCAAACCTTTAGTGGCCAGATATGTAAATTATAGTCCATTTCATTAAATTAGTTGTGTTACACTTTATTAAAGATGGAATGTGGTTATATAGTAGATGAAAAAGGGATTATATTTCATCAATACAAATCCTTTTCTCACAAAATAAGATACATCTAGTTATATACAAGGCTGCAACTCCCATGGCTTCAGTACTTCCCATGTATGTCATACTTCAAGACAGACAATATGACAGCCTGAGGAGTTGATACAAGGAGACTGATCATGTGAATTAGAGTGAAGGCTACTTACAGGTTCACTGCATCAGCAAGAGACCCCCCCCACACACACACTTTTTTTTTTTTTTTTTTTTTGGGGGGGGGTGACATCTAGGAATGGCAGGCAAATGAATTGTTAAATGTTACCCCTTTTATGCAAAACAATAGCCGATTGGAGCATTACACATTGGTTCTCCTTTAGGCAAGGCCCCAGGGCATGTGATGTGTGGGCATGAGGGTACCTTATTGTAGCTGTGACCAAGTTAGCCATAACAGGAAAAGCATGTCATTTGGAGGAATGAGGTTAAGACGGAGCAACTTGAATTTCGTAGATAGAAATTTGATAGGACAGGAAAATAGCTTGTGTTGGGATGTTTTCTCCCAATGCCTCCAGGAAAATTTAGTTTGTTAGTAGACCTCGTACCCTTATTATTATTATTATTATTATTATTATTATTATTATTATTATTATTGTTGTTGTTGTTGTTGTTGTTGTTGTTGTTGTTGTTGTTGTTGTTGTTGTTGTTGTTTGTTGTTGTTGTTGTTGTTTGTTGTTATTATTGTTATTTTTATTTTTATTTTTATTGTTATTGTTATTATTATTATTATTATTATTATTATTGCTATTATTATTATTATGATGTCTTGGTACTTTTAGAGCCATCTTTTTGCAAATGTAATAAACTGAACTTGGTAGGCATGGCACGTCTGTACATGCCCTCCCCAGCAGCATTAGGTTAATATGTGGATTGATTTTTTGACATGCGATCTCAGAGGATATCAAAAATGCTTTTGATCCTTTTTTTTTATTTCAGTGTTTGGAGATTTTAGGTGTGACAGAGTACTATATCATATGTTTATTCATTATTTTGATACTCATTATTATTATGTATATAATTGTTATTTTTTCTTCCATGTACAATGTTTGTTTTAGCAGAGATGCTACCTCGTAAAGAGAAAATGATTATAAATAAATATAATTGAAATCAGAATAAGAAAGAAATTACTTCTGTAAATGTTAAAGTTTTCTCTCTTTCTTTCTCTTTATTTATTTATTTGGCTGTGAAACTTGCATCTTGTTATCTTCACTTGATAATCTTATCAGCTAATTCTAATCACCTCTGTCATAAGTTACCAGCCCTTTTAGAATATTAATTTTTCTTCGTATCTGTGAAACATTGCATTGGAGATTTACGGGAATAATAATGCAGTACTTAATTTAGTATGTATATAATGGAGGGAGGAATCTGAATATGGAAATCTTGACTGGAATTTGGTGTAAAGGATCAGGATATGAAATATAGATGAAATGTAAGTGGGAGTGTTCAGAAGTGTTGCTTGTATGATTTTGTATATGATAGCATTTATTTCTGCACACCAATATATGTATTCTCTCTCTCTCTCTCTCTCTCTCTCTCTCTCTCTCTCTCTCTCTCTCTCTCTCTCTCTCTCTCTCTCTCTCTCTCTCTCTCTCTCTCTCTCTCTCTTCTCTCTCTCTCTCTCCTCTCTCTCTCTCCCCTCTCTCCCTCTCTCCCTCTCTCCCTCTCTCCCTCTCTCCTCTCTCCCCCTCCCCCCTCTCCCCCTCCTTCCCTCTTCCCCTCTCCTCCTCTTCCCTCTCCCTCTTCCCCTTCGCTTCCCCCTCTCCCTCTTCACCTTCCCTTCCCCTCTCCCTCTTCCCCTTCCCTTCCCCTTCCCTTCCCCTCTCTCTCTCTTCCCCTTCCTTCCCCTCTCTCTCTTCCCCCTTCCCTTCCCCTCTCTCTCTCCCTTCCCTTCCCCTCTCTCTCTTTCCCTTCCCTTCTCCCTCTCTCTCTTTCCTTCCCTTCTCCCTCTTCTCTTTCCCTTCCCCTTTCCCTTTTCTCTCTCTTTCCCTTCCCTTTCCCTTTTCTCTCTCTTTCCCTTCCCTTTCCCTTTTTCTCTCTCTCTTTCCCTTCCCTTTCCCTTCTCTCTCTTTCCCCTTCCCTTCCTCCTCTCTCTCTTCCCCTTCCCTTCCTCCTCTCTCTCTTCCCCTTCCCTTCCCCCTCTCTCTCTTTCCCTTCCCTTTCCCTTTTCTCTCTCTCTTCCCCTTCCCTTTAGCTCCTTCTCTCCCCCACCTCCCCTTCCCCCCCTCCTTCGTATGGGAGAATCGACCATGATTGTTGGTGTTGGTAAAACTGAGGAAGATTGTTGCTGCTGATTTTGACCTATGATAAAAAATCAAATTGATCTGCATTGTTTTGATAATGAAGGATGGGGACCAGGATTTAATTATTTTGAAACTGTGTGAGTTCTCAAGTCTTTTTTTTCTGGGACTGCACTCTTTCTCCTTTTTTTTCCATCTTCCCAGAATTGTTAATCCTAATGTGATGTTTCTCTCTTTGCAGATGACCCACACTTCACAGACTTAGTAAGACAAGCAGAAACAGCCATTGAAAGTGGGATTTATCCAGAGAGGATATACCAGGGCTCGAGTGGGAGCTACTTCGTCAAAAACAGCAATGGGGTAAGTCCATTCTTCCTTTTACTCTGCGCACACATTTTAAAGCAAGTTGTGGAGACCATGGATAGTTGTGAGATTTTTTTGCTATACATGTGTATGTACATTATGAGTGTATTATTTGGTATTATCAGATACACAAAGCAGAGATAGTCTTTCCTTTGATTGCTGAATTTTCATATCATATCTACCCATGAAAGAATTCTTGGGCATAAACTGTTTTACTTATTTGTTTATTTATTGAATATTATTCTTTTATTTGTTTATTATCATTATTATTATGATTTTTTATTGTTGCCTGTATTTTGTGTTTAGTACTTTTGTTGTAGTTTAATCATTTACTTTTTACCAAAATTATATATTTATGTATATATATATATTATATATATATATATATATATTATATATATATATATAAATTGTCTCTAATCTTGGTCAACCCAAGAAATACCTCTGTGAGAGAGAGAAGGAAGAAGCAGAGAATATACTGTTGATTTTTTATGTCCTATTTGTTTACTGTAGGTGTGAAAAGATATTCAGATATTTTATGTAGACTACTTGCAGTTCTTAGTTATTGTGTAGCACACTTAGGGAAAGATTTCGATCACCATTTGCTCTCCAGAATTTTCTGCAAATATGGAGTTGTAGCTGAAACCTTCAGACATTGGGGAGGAGGTTGCTAGATTTCTCTAACATCCCTGGAGCTTGAAGTGCATCATGTATAGTACCGTGTCATTGTCTTATTTTGCAAGATAATGTTATTAAAGATACTGGAGATTAGTCCTGGCAGCATGAAAATCCTAGCTTAACCTCATTTTGTAAATTTGTAGACGCATACCACAGACATACACTCACTCTTTCCCTCACTCTCTCACTCACTGTGCTTTACAGTGCTAGTATTCTTAGCTGGCAATCTTGCTGACTGGTATTCAAGTCCTCAAGCCATTCCTTGCACATGGTTTAGAAACACAGTCAACAGATAACAACAGTTTGAAGTCACCAAAGCTTGTCCCCTTACCCTGAATAATTATATTAATGATTATTGTTATTATTATCATTGTTATTATAGTAATAATAATAATAATATTATTATTATTATTATTATTATTATTATTATTATTATTATTGTACACATTTTTACCAGGTAAATGGACATATATCTCTCACACACATATATCATACACATAAACACCCGTAGCTATACACTTGTATACCACCTGTACAAACACAAGTTGAACAATCATCCTCAACTTTTAAACCAGTTTCTCCAACCATTCATCTCTCTCTATCCCAACAGAAAGTCATTGCTGTGTACAAGCCAAAGGATGAGGAGCCTTATGGCCGCCTCAACCCCAAGTGGACCAAGTGGTTGCATAAGGTGTGCTGCCCATGTTGTTTTGGACGGTCATGCCTTGTGCCCAACCAGGGCTACTTATCAGAGGCGGGCGCATCCCTTGTTGACCAGAAGCTGCAGCTGAATGTTGTTCCTAAAACTAGGGTGAGGAATAGGGGCCAGCTCTAGATTATTATTATTTTTTTTTTTTTTTTCCCCAGTTGTATTGTGTGTTACTTTGCATTTATTTACTATATACAGTATTGTTGTGTTTTTACAGTTATTTAATCATTTATTTATTTGTTTTTTTGTTATTCCTAAAACTTAAGAGGGCTTCTTTGAAGTTGTAATCTAAATTATTTGAATGATGACTTTATTCGTAGTTTTTTATTTCTGTTCTATGAGTTGTGTTTAGGAATCTCAACTTTCTTTT